GGATGGGACTATGCCCGAGGTCATATTCTACATAGGCATGACTATCAGGTATCCAAAGAGGGGAAAGACGTACACGAATGATAAATGCCACATATGTCTCAGACCTCCTCCAGGTATCCCTGCACGATGAGATGCTCGACATCCGCGCGCCTGACGAGGAACCGCTGCCCGCGCCGGAAGTCGATCGCCCCCACCTCCGTCTGGATGACCCCGCAGTCCCGCACGACGCGCACGAGCACATGCAGGTCCCGCGGCGGGCGCGCGATCGGCGCGAACAGGTCGAGCTCCTCTGTCTCGAGCACGCCCGCGCGGAACTCGAGGAGCGCGTCGTTGTACGCGCGCAGGAAGTCGACCTCGTGCGGCGACAGCCTCGCGCGGACGTCGCCCCCCGCGGGTGCGCCAGGTGCACCGGCGGCGTCCGCAGTCGGCGCGGCGAGCAGCAGCGGGAGCGCGCCGCCAACGGACCAGTAGAGGTCCTTGAGCCGCTCGAGGCGGTGCTGGTGGTACGCGAGCAGGCAGCGCTTGTTGCGGAGGATCGCGGTCTGGTAGAGGATGACGTCTGGCGTGACCTGCAGCTCGAGCCCACCGTCGTCGTCACCGTCGCCATCGCCGTCTTCGGGCACGAGGCGCTCCATCGCGCCCTGGATGAGGGCCTCGAGCTGCCGCTGCTCGCGCACGATCTGCCGCACGAGGACGTCGTTGTACTTGAGCAGCGTGTCGGTCGCCGTCGAGCGGCGGGACTCGGTCACGAGCTGGGTGGCGAGCTCGCAGAATTGGCGGGCGGTGCCCGACATCGTTGCAGCGCGGTGAGCGGGAGAGAGGGAAGAGAGAGGGGGCCTCCCTGCGCGTCACGCTCGCACGCGTCGTCACTATCGTGACTGCACGCGGAGGGAAGCGCGCGGCAGCCGTGTACAGTAATATTCGCTGAATATGCGCTCAGATATTTCTTTGCTGCTTCTTCCAACCTGTCGACCTTGCCAAACGACGACCTCATGCTGCAGAACGAGTCCCAGACCCTCGACGAGGCGACGATGAACATACAGTGAGCGCGGATGGCGACGATGACGTGTGGATGGGTGCTGAACGGCTCGGCAGACCGGACAACAAGACCCGTCGGTATGACCGCCAGCTGAGGTGCGTCCTTGCGCTCTTGCCGCTGTTCCAGACAGCTCTGACCCCGCCTCAGACTCTGGGCAGCGTCAGGCCAAGCTGCCCTCGAGTCTTCCCGTATTCTCCTCACTTCGGGCTCTGCCACCTCGACCTCTATCCTCAAGAACCTCGTATTGCCCGGAATCGGGCACTTTACCATCCTCGATGCGGCACGGACCACGCCTGCCGACGCAGGCAACAACTTCTTCCTCAACGCCGATGCTAGCATAGGCAAGTTCCGCGCGGAAGAGGCGGTGCCGCTCCTGCGCGAGCTCAACGAGAGCGTCGACGGCGTCGCGGACACTCGGGAACTCGAAGCGCTCCTCCAGACGGACGAGGGCCGGAAATACCTCGCCTCGTTCACCCTCGTCATTACGCACAACCTCCCTGCGAAGACTCTCGACCAGCTCGCCTCACTGCTCTGGCAGGACCCAACCTACCCGCCGCTCATCGTCGTCCGCTCGGCTGGCTTCCTCGCCGACTTTTACATCCAATTACACGAACACTGCGGTACGTCTCCTTTCCCGTAGTCTAGGAGCGATGCGTCTCGTTTCCCTTGTCGCCCCTCGGACGTCACAGCGCTTTGCAGTTGGTTCATCCAGAGGGTGCCTTGGCTGGGCCAGCTGGTCCTATCGTACTGAGAGTTGCTGTCGTGTGCGACACTCACCATCCTTACACAGTCATCGAATCTCACAGCGAGACAGCGCCCTCGCTGCGCCTGACAAAACCCTTCCCGGCGCTGCAGGCCTGGGCCGACACACTCGACTACGACAAGCTGGACCCGACCGAGCACGCACACGTCCCGTTCGCGCTCGTCCTCATCAAGGAGGCAGACAAGTGGCGCGCCGAGCACGGCGGTGCGCTGCCCAGGGCGTACGCGGAGCAGAAGGCGTTCAAGGCCGCCGTGCGCGCGCGCCAGCGCAAACTTGACGAGGAGAACTACGAGGAGGCCGAGGCGCAGGCCGTGCGCATGTGGTCCGAGAAGAGCATCTCGAGCGACATCCAGGCGCTCCTGGACCTCCCGCCTGTCGACCTCCGGACGTCACCCAACGCCGCGTTCCACGCGCTCCTTGAGGCCCTCCGCCTCTTTGTCCAGGACCCTGCGGGCCCTGGAAGCCTCCCGCTTACGTCGACGCTGCCGGATATGAAGACGGATACGGAGAGCTACGTGAAACTACAGCGCATGTACAAGGAGCAGGCGCGGGTGGAGAATGTGAGTTACTCTGTCCTCGCTGGATGGTATTCGCCGCCTCACGGTGCTACTTTACCAGGCTTTGTTCAAGGAGATCCTCAAGAAGAACTTCCCAGACCTGCGGATCGAGGACGCAGTTGTGGACGCATTCGTTAAGAATGCACATCACATAAAGCTCCTGCGCGGTCGCCAGTCCGGAGGATTCGACAAGGACAAGGATGCCCTCGGTACGCAGCCATCGTCCTGCCTTCTTACGCTTCCTGACGTTGGGCTGCACAGCGTCTGCGCTGCAGATTTTCCCGAAAGAGACCGTCACACACCTCGCGCTATCCGCGCTAAGCGAGCTCCTTGCGCGAGGGGCAGAGCCCGCGAGCATCACCGCTGAGGCACTGACTGCAGAAGTCCACGCCCTCGTAGGGCAGGGCGTCGAGCTCCCAAATGACGAGCTCGAGGCAGCTGCCGGCGAAGTGTATGTCTCGCATCCGTACATTGTCCTGAGCTGTTTACTAAAGGCTTATTCCTGCAGTGTGCGCGCGCCGACGGCGGATCTGCCGAACACGGCTGCGTTCCTCGGCGGCATGGTCGCGCAGGAGGCGATCAAGTTGCTCACGAAGCAATACGTACCGGTGAACGGCTACTGCGTCATTGACCTCGTTGACTCCTGGACTGGCATCATCGGTGCGCCATGAGGGAGTGCTTTTGCGCGACAAGGAAAGAAGAGATCGTGTACATCGCCGACCATAGTTGCTGGTTCAGATGAGGCTGATCTTTAACCTAACTGTATATCACCATTCGCGACGAGAACAGCGAGTGCTCAGGACAAATCAATGCGTAGGGTATACGAAGAGCGAGATTGAATAGCTACAGGATGGAACGCGACGGCGTAGTCTGATTGTTGAATGGTGTGCTAGCATGCGGAAGAGGCGGCAAGCGGCATCGAAGTATCTTCAAGAGAGCGGCGGGTATGGGGGTATACTCCAGGCAAAGTCGCCATAGAAACAAGACAAACTGCGGCGAGGGCGGGGCAACGGGCCAGCGGGGCTCACCCTCCAGTGCAGCACAACAAAAAGACCAAAGAAAAAACGACTTCGAAACAACCCAGCCAGCTGCTGCCACAAACCCCTTCGCTCCAGGCACGCGTACACCCGCAGACCTTACGCTACGACACGAACGGCGTGCTTAGAGCTCGTCGCAGAAAGGAAGGTCGTCGTCGTCATCGTCATCATCATCATCGTCGTCGTCGCTGTCGTCGCCGTCGTCGTCATCGCTGCCGCCGGCGGTCGGTGAGGGGGCAGGTGTCGGGGACACAGTCGAAGAGGCGACCGACGGCACGGCGGGGGTCGCACCCGGGGGGATAGCGGTGGCAGGGATCACAGAGGGAGCAGGGGGCGCGCTAAATTCAGACGCAACACAGAGAACCTGGTGTTTCACATGGTCAGCGCACAGCACCAGGCACACGCCCAAGGAAAAATCTTACCTCGCCAACATAGATGTTGGTGCAGTCAGCGTTGATCTGCGCGTTGTTGGCCCACAGCATGGTCGCGTTGACGCCATGATTGGACATAACCTCGTCGCAGGTATTGTTCGCCTGGACGACGTAGGTCGTCTGGCAGTCCTGGCCCTGGTAGCCAAGGCAAAGATTCTGGCCGGGCTGGAGGTTGTTGCAGGTTCCGTCAATTTGCGGGTTCGTGACCGCGAGCTGATAGCTAAAGCGCAGAGGTCAGCGACACGGGGCAAGACGCGTGAGGGACGCGTCGCATACGTGGAGACATTCTGTTCAGCAGAAATGGAGTCACAGATGTCGCCCGCTTGGATGGTGTAAGAGCGCGCGCAGGCGGCGGCGGCGGCGGCTATGCACACGAATCGTCAGCTTCAATGACATGGGCGAATCTGCGCCGTGGGGGGAGCGTACACTGGACAAAGAAGGGGAGGGCGACGAGAGCAGCAACGACCGAGCTGGCGAGCATGGCTTCAAACGATCTGAAAGGACTGCGTCGACTGTAATGAATGTGGGAACTGGCTAGTTAGAGAGAGGGAGAAAAGCAACCGCGAGAGGGTCGTGCGGGTCGTCGAGGACGGCAAGGAGATGGGAGAAACAACAAAAGTTGGAGTGAGGCACGAAATTATGGGCGCGCTAAGCGCCGGATTGCCGCTTGGCGCGGGCCTCGCCATAAAGCGTCTCTAGGGCGACATGACCCGCTTCAGCCTCGGCCGGCTTCCGGAACACCAAGAGAGATCTCCCAGGCCTTGTTCAGGACAACGGCAAAAAATCTCAATAGAGACGAGCGCATCGCACCGCAGAATAATAAGATACATACAAGTACATCTATCGCTACATCATCGCGCCGTCGGTCTGCGTCACGTCAATCAGCGCACCTTCGGCAACCGATGCGAATGGGGATTGCTTACCCAAACGTTTCCCCCGGCGCAAGCTGCCGCAATGGTATCTCATTCCAGTCCGCTGTCTTCATGAAAACAGTATTACCCCACCACCGGCTGATGGTATCCTCGCCAATGCGACCGTTTTTAGGGTACTGCAAGCTGTTCCCATGTCAGTACCGGACCCAGAGATGTCCATACCAACATCTCGACTAACCAGAAGTACACAAGCAGCACCCCGATAGCTGTACCAGCATCTAGAGCAGCAGAGAGCACGTCTGCAACTCGTTATGAGACAGTACGAGAGAACGACAGACGACAAAACGCACAATTGTATTTGGCCCAAAAGGGAAAATATCGCCGTCGTAGCAGGTACTGGAAGATGAAGCCAAGCAGCGCCCAGGGGACATAGTTCACGGCCGTGGCGGGTGGTATCAGGTTGATGCCTGCGAACATGAGACTGTCGATGCCGCTTTAGCATGAAGAGAATGTTGCCGAGCCGTGTACTCACGGGAAGCTGTGCCCGGTTGTCAATCAACTTCGATGAAAACAGGCCGGGGGAGAGACTCACTTGACATAGTTTAAGATCGTATCAGGATATCTCTTCGTGATTAGCCAAATGATCAGTGGCAAGAATGCTCCAAGCAGGAAGAAATACAGCAACGCTGCGAGAGAACGTAGGTCAGGTAGCTACGGGACGATGATCACGGGACATACGGCTGAGAAAGGCGGGTGAGAGAACGATAAGATGTGGAGCGAAAAACGCACTAATAGATTCCTCTCGAAAAGATACGGGAAGGGCCAATAACTCCCCACTGACAGCAGGTAAATCTCGGCCGTGTGATGTACGCGCGTCATGGCACTTACAACGATAGACGCTGTCCCAAAGACCTCGTAGCCAGTTCAGTAATTCGCGTGTATCGAGTGAACGACAGCCTTACCTCTGTGTTGGCACAGGTAAAGCCGGACCTGCGCCGTCCGTGTTAGCATACGTGTATTCTCTGTGATGCCATCACTCACGTTTCTGTCCGCCTCGTGAGACATAGGTCCCTATCAAACATCCACATGTCGGTGTGACAGAAGACTACAGTGTCCGAATACGCACGGTATGTTTGAGAACATCCACGACATGACCCCGAGTTGTGTTGTACCGGCAATGACAGTGGCAACAATCTGGCAAATAAACATCGACCGGGGCGGCTGGCGCAGGGTTTTAGCGACGCGTTCCTCAATAGGGCGATAAGAAACATACAATCTTCATGTAGTGTCCTAGCTTGAGGTCTCCGGTGAAGACCATGGCTAACTGGGGCGTCGGCTTGGAATTAGGCGAACACAGAGATGACGCACCTTGCGACATCGTGATATACCCCCACGTCTACCAACCCACTTTAGGTGTGTCTTCGTCAAGTTCGTATAGAAAAAAAACCTTGAACCTGCTCGGTAGGTGTGAGTGTTTGGCGGGGGGAGCGAAACTTAGGCACGCACATCATCATCGCCACGGGCCGTCCAGGGAGCATATATCCGATGATAAGCTCCGTGATCACACTATCCTCGATGAGCATCTCGCCTTCCCGTACCAAGCAGGAAGACCCACTTCAAACCGACCTGTCTATTCGTCACCGCCTGGATCATGCCTGTAATCTTGCTGTTCAGCATGCCGCCGAGCGGCCACTAATCGCAGGTCGCTCACCGATTGGGACGACGTAGATCAGCGCGATGAGCAGCGCGACGATGAGTGCCCAGATTGGCATGCGCGTCGGCCATATCTCGACGCACACGCATGCGAACACGAATGTCACGACTGCGGCGTAGGTCAGTCGACGAGTATTTTGCGCACGCCGAAGCTGGCTCGCGTATTACTCACCGAAGATGCAAGCATACCTGACCGCGTGTATCAGCCGTGCGAAGCGTCATGCTGAGAGCAGAACGGGCACTTACCACCACTCTGGGACTATACGCATCAGCGCGTGGTAAAAGTGGGGAGGGGGAGATGTCAGCCACAGGGACGCAGAGGGGTGGTGCAGATTCCACCTTGTGGATAACGCGACATGAGTTGTGCATGAATGTCAGGCTGCTCGGATAGCGAGCGCGAGAGATGGTAGCGGATCGGCTTGCGGAAGTAGAGAATAGCGTGTACGATCTAGTTCGCGCAATATTCAGGGCTGCGGCCAGCGCGCATGAGGGCGTAAGACGTACTGTAGCTGATATCGTCGCGAAGCTGAGGCCATAGCTCAAAGCGAACGTCGTTCTAGCACGAAATCATCGATGCCCAGAGCAGTAGAAGACTATGAAATATACGTACGAGAGATACAGCGGACTATACTCCTTGTATGCCTCCTCGTTGAAAGTTGCGTTCGAGTACAGTATCCGAGATACGTTGTACGGATGTCCTGTGGGGCAGCCAGGTAAGTCAAATTTTGTCCTACCAATACCCAATGCCACAAAGGTGACACACCCGTGTTGTCAAAGGACGCCGATGATGATATCCTATCTAGTTCGTTAGCCGGGCGGCCCTCTAGACTGAACTCAAATGCTCACGGCATATACTGGCTATACCACACATTCATGAACTGCAATCAATGTTTCGTTTTGTCAAGATAATCTCCCAGGTATATAGACAACCGGATTACTTACGTAGAGCACGGGCACGAGAAACCCTGGGCAGAACACGAGCAGCAGTCAGTACGGGTTGCACGCCATCGAGATGAGTGTCATGTCGTGCACCCACAATAGAAGAAAAGGAAGCCGGCGAAGACGTTTGCTTGGGACCACCCTGCGATATGATATGGCGGTCAATCGTGTAATTGTTACATGCAGTAGCCGAAACGCGTACAAGGTGTCACGAGGCTGGCGGTTTGGTGAGCACCTCATGTAAGGATCGCAGAAGTGGGATGCTCACGGGCTGCCAATATATGCTATCTCGTTCCAGTCAAACGACAGGGTAGAGTAGCCTATCCCGCTGCTGTACCTGCGTCTGTCGTGAACCAAATATATGGAAGCAGGGTGTGGAGACGACCTACCCAAACAGGAGATTGACTTTCTACAGACAGTGGTGCTTGTTAAAACAAGCTCTAAAGATCTCATAATAGCACACGCACGACGTTGTTTGGGGCTAGCCAGCAGACCTGTCGGCGGTTCCGCCTCAGCGACCTCAAGCGAGCGGCGAAAAGCACGACAACGCACCCATGTGAAGACGCTATCGCCAGTCGCGAATGCATATATGCATGTACCGGGCGACATGAGACTCAACCACGCACCTCAATGCTCTGAAGAGATACCCCGGAACAAAATCTAACATATACGATCAGCGAGTATTTAGACGCTTTTCACAAAGGTCGACATACACCACAATGTCGCCGCCAGGAAGGCATACATGAAGAACCGCTCTCGGCTGATGCCTTCACGCGAGCCAATGCTGGCAATGCTTGCACAATGGAGAGTGTTATAGAGGGCGCACAAGACAAGTGTATTTGGCCAGACTGCGGGAGTGTAAGCGACGGAAAGCGAGGTGGGTGAGAGAGGCATACTCATCGAAGCGGGTGCTACGAGCTACCAGGAGTCAGATTGCATTGCGTGACAGAGGGGACAGCATACCAGACGGCGGGCAAGACCACCAATAGAAAATCCTATTAGCTTTGGCGGTTGTAAGTGGACGGCGACCTGCGTAGGGGTAAAGGACGTGTACCTGAGTAGACATGACCAGCATCCATTGATCTGCCAGAAGATAAACAGAATAAAAGATAGAGATAAAGAGAAAGAAACACACAAGGAAAGTTAAAGTTCTGATTATAATATACGCGTTGAACCGCAATTATTTCTGTCTATCGACGACGCGTTAGAGCCAGACATCGTGCCTTGAGAGACAGACTTACAGCATATGCTGAGGTGGCGCCGACACCTGCCATGACGGTGACCAGAACCTAGTAATCAGCACATCAACATTGGGCGTGAAGCGAGGGTAGATAGAGGCCTACATGCTCCTTTATTGTAAAGGGCCCTGGGTTTAGGTGTATGCCAAAAAGTGTCCATTGCGGTATGATGCGGGCCAGCACACGGCCAATAGGAAAGGTAACTAGCAAAGGTACGACCTGCAGGGCCGTCGGTTTCATGAACGTGATGCAGCGTTTGTGGATAACTCACCTGCCCTACGGTAATGGTTGGATATCGGAAATAGAAGAATTGGTTGATTCCGGGGAGTACAATGGCCCAGAGTATACCAAGGATCCATGCGCGAAGGGTACTGACGGGAATCTCGGGGTCGTCGTAATTTGCGACGGCCGAGCGCACCTCAGGGTACGGTGAGTCGTCCTCTAGTGTCGGGAACGATTAGCTTTGTGATACGCGCGACTAGACGGCCGCCGGCCTGGGCGACGCTCACCGAACCACGAAGCGTCGATCTCGAGATTTGGATCGAAAAAGTCGGGCACAGATGGCGCTGCGGACGATTGTGCCGCCCGGTGTGGGTAGGACTCTTCCAGCTCGTGAACGTCTGCGACAGCGCGGTCAGCAGCGCTGGCGCCCAGCATTGTATGCTACGCACTGATGGAAGGGATTTTGTCACTGTATCTGTCCATGTGCTGCTTCTCGTCCGTGGTCGAGATGTCCACCGAGTCTAGTGCATCTGTCTGCAGGTTTGCGTCTGGAGCATCTGGAGCCATCTCATTCGCCTATCGTCAGTCACTTTCGCCTCGCACCGGCGAGCACCGTTCCTCAAGGCGGTGCTGATTACGACAGTCTCGCGTCGGCTGGCGGCTTGGTCCACCTCGGAATCGCCAGTGGTTGCTCAGAATGACGTCTCTAGGCTCCCCCCGAGTGTCGCCTGGCCACTGCGCCCGCAATTCCCCCGGGACGGCTTCTTAAACGCGGTTACACAGTCAACAGTAAAGAGCAGGATATTTGCTATGACCCTTGGAGATGTGGGCTGTCGGCAGCTGGTCGGTGAACGCGAAGGGGGCAAGAGGTGCGTGTATGAGACTCCGGTACCTCGCTGTAGCAATTACCAAGGTCCGCCGATAACGCAGATCTGGCGAGCGTGTCGTGTATCGCAATGGACTGCTAGACTGGTGTGCCCACCGGCGAGCGACGGCCAAAGGTTGATGGTCCCCGGGGGGGGGGGGGGGGGGGGGAATATCGACCGAGAAGTGAGCGCCGTTCAGCCTGGGAATGAGGATGAGATAGCACGCGGGACCGGGGACAAGAACATGCCACGGCGGCACTCCGGGTGAATCGTCACACGAAGTGCCTCCGTCTCCGGCGTGCACGTCCACAACGCAGCCAGCGTGACCATTCTGACCGAGGATGTAAGACTGTGGCTTCTGCACAGCTGACGTACCCACTCTATCTTCTTCCAGATTGTCCTTCGTCGCACGCCCAACTTTATCAGCCGCCCCGCAGCAGGCCCTGTAGATAACAGCAAGCCCCAAACCAAGTCATATACGTGCCGATCGGCGGGCTGACTGCGCAATCGGCTTGTCCACGTCCCTCCATGCCACACCCACAGCTTTGGCAGAAATGGCATCCCGTCGTCGGGCTCTTTGGGTTTGGCAAGCGGGAACGCCCCACATCATTTGATCACAACATTCCTTTGCTGTCCCGGGTTGCAGTCAGCTAGCTCCAGGATGCTTGTAAGGAAGGCACCTCTTATGAAATGATTCCTGTAAGACGAATCGTGCAATGGGGTCGCGTATACTGGATTACTTGTCCTCAGGAACTATCGATTCATTGGTCGTAATCTCGGTGCTTCTGCCGTCTCTTCCGAGGCGATCAAGACCAGTTAAAACTTAAGCTTAAGACTGATGAATATTTGAAGGAAGTGAGACGTTCGCTCGTTCAACAGACTAGCTTACCCAGCAGAGGCTCTGTGCTGATCATCCCGCCTCTGCCCGGGGAACGTTGCTTACCCGACCTTCGCATTCTGATGTGCCGTGACTCCAAAGTCGGGTACAACAACATTATGGTCGCCATGAGCATGCGCCACTAAGATGTTGTGGCGCTGCTCCTTCCTTGCTATCGCGTCTACGCTGATGTCTCTACAGCAGCCAAGTGGGTGTCAACACCGCGCCTCACTGGCCCTCGCCCTACCCTCGCCTGATGTCAACAACATGATAGCGCGTGCCCAGCTGGGTGTTCATCGCTTCCAATGGCTATCCTTCTGTGGACGGCAGCATATATGTGCCAGGTGCGCATGAATTATTACGGTCAATGCATCTGGGTTCTGTTCGTGTAAGGCAAGCGGAGATTTTCCGGATAGAAGCTAGATTCGGCACATCAATACTAGCTGCTCTTTGACAAAAGATTAAACGATGGGTAACGTTTTGCAGCTCTATATCACACTGCGAGGCTAGTAACATCTCCTAGACACGCACAAGCATACCCATGTACAACAGCTGACTTGCAGCAATAAGAAACAGAAACGTTATACGCCGCGAGCGCTGCGAAGTGCTCACTGGCGACGCTGTCGCAGACGCGTCCGGGAGCACGAGCGAACGGAGCGAGCGTAGCTATAAGGGCACGTCAGCAAATGTGGCATAAACGACAGGAACCGGGCGTACGAGGAAGAGGAACGTCGCAAGGAAGGAGTAGAGGAAGATGATGATGTAGATCGTCCGCCCGAAGCTGAGTAGACCTGCCACAAGGGTCAGGATGACACTGCAGCGAGATGTTAAGGTATGAAAGAAGAAGCAGTGTATGTCGTACCCCACGAATTTGTAGCCATCATATGCCAGAAGATCGAGTACTTGACTTGGCCCCTAAGCACAGCACGTAAGTCCGAGCTTCATCACAGAACGCGTACTACACATACTTGGATGTTCAAGAAGTAGCAGCCACCCTTGACGAAGAAAAAGTCGAGCAGAACGACGGCGAGCGCTTTGGATGCAGTCACACCAAGAATCTCGGGATGAAAGCGCGAGTTCAGGCCAGAGTGAAGCGCAGCAAGAAGGATATAGGTGACAAGCGCCATCGCTGCGTGGTCGACTCAGCAAACACAGACACACACAAGCGAAGCACGTACTAGGAATATAGAGGTCGGGTGAGTTGATATCATCGCGCGGTGGTAACCATTCCGCCTGGCCATTCTCCGTGCGATACGTGCGCCGCGCCCAGGGCTTGTGCCGCCATGGGAAGAGCACAAGCCCAATTTTCTTGACAACATACGAGTTGGAGACTTTGAAGTGGTGCTTTACGGCCGTGATGGGGATGAGCCCGCCGAGCTGCGATTAACGTCACACGATAGCCACCAGGGCATGTTACAAAGGGATGTACCTTCTTCTGCACATAGTCCTGCCCTGCCGCGACCGCGTTCTGGCCGAGCTGCATACCAAACTGGGCCGTGGCGTCATCAAACCCCCACCCAGAAAAGTCTACCGGCATCGGCGCCGTTGGATTCGGCTGTGGGACCTGCCCCCGCACTGTCGGCTGCTGCCGCGGCGGCGAGCCCACGGGCGGGTACCCACTTGCATGCGAGACGTACGACTGTGGCGCCTGGGGCGCGCGACCGATATGGCTGCCTGTGGGCACACTCGGGGCATATGGCACCTGAGGTTGCGGTGAACTAGCGTAGCGTTGGTAGCCCTGCGGTGATGCTGGCGTCGAGGGCGGCTCAGGGATGTAGGCTGGGTGTGTCGGAACTGGGTGCTGCAGCGGCGGAGGGCTGCGGCTGTTGTTGTTGTAGAACGACATGGTCAGGAACCACGAGCGAGAACGAGGAGGAGGAGGAGGAGGAGGAGGAGGAGGAGGAGGAGGGTGAGTATGCGGTTAGCGTGGTCATTGGACGCGCCACGACGAGGATGCTACGTGGGAGATGCCAAATAGAGCCAAGCAAGGTCTTGCAGGGGCGCTTTGCATAAATTTGCGTGCGCTGGCGAGTCGTCTGCCACAGTTCAAAATGCCCTACAACACGGTAAAGATAACCAACGTCCCTGCCATAAAAAATGCCCCCCTGGAGGGCCTGGCAGAGGGCAACGGCTCCTTCAACAACGTTCACCTCGCCATCCTCGTTGTCGGTGTCCCGTGGGTTGCCAAGCGCATCCTTCCCATCGTCAACCACAGCGGCTTCAAGACTTATGTCTTCCTCGTTGTTGTCCTCGGTCTCCCCGTAACGATGGGTTACTGGACGCTTATGAGCACGTACGGCAAGCGCAAGAATTACAAGGTCCAATTCCCTGAACGCAACCTTGAGGAGTACATAACGATCCACGACGAAGCACTCAAGAAGAAGTATCACGGCAAGGAGAAGATCCCCATGCAGGTCTTTCACGACGCGTATTTTGAGGGCAAGATTGACTTTAACGGTGCGTTACTCGCATTGACGCGTCGGAACACGTCAGAACTGACGTTGCCCAGGCGATGTCCTTGACACAATGGAACAGCGCCACGACTGGGCCAAGATGGTCTTCACGCTCGAACTCTTCAAATATGTGTTCTTTACCCTTATTCCTGAGGTTATCAAGCACACCGAGTCTCAGGACGAAGAACAAGTTCGCGACCACTACGACCGTACGTGTTAGCGCTCTTGTTACGCGGCAAGGCAATCATTGACGTGTCACCGCAGGAGGCGATGATTTCTACGGATGGTTCTTGGGACCCCGGATGGTCTACACGTCCGGTATCATCGGCGACGTCAATTCAGAGGAGTCTCTTGAGCAGCTTCAGGACAACAAGCTGACCGTTGTCTGCGAGAAAGTGCGCTACTCGCTACCTTGCTCATATTCTTGCTAACCCGCCTTTAGCTCAACCTTCAGCCTGAAGATCACCTTCTCGATATTGGATGTGGCTGGGGTACTCTTGCAGCCTTCGCACATAAGAACTACGGCTGCCGTGTCACCGGTGTCACACTTGCGAAGAACCAGACCGCTTTCGGTAACGAACGTATTCAAAACAACGGCGGCGATCCCGAACGCGCCAAAATCATCTGCACTGACGCACGCTACATTCCTGGGGGAAAGGGTGCTTATACCAAGATTGTTTCCCTTGAGATGGCCGAGGTATGTCTCTGTTCGCATACCCCATGGCTCACCTCTTCACCATCTGCTACAGCACGTCGGCATACGCCGTTACCAGTCTTTCCTTCGCCAAGTCTACGACCTACTTGACGACGATGGCGTCTTCCTGCTCCAAGTTGCCGGTTTTCGTCCTCACTGGCAATACGAGGACCTCATCTGGTGCGTCCCCCTCCTACCCCTCGCCTCCTGTGGCTAATAATCTCTGGCAGGGGTCTCTTCATGAATAAGTATATCTTTCCCGGCGCCGATGCGTCCTGCTCTCTGGGATGGGTCGTCGGTCAGGTCGAGGCTGCAGGTTTTGAAGTCAAAAATATCGACGTCCTCGGTGTGCACTATTCCGCGACCATCTACCGCTGGTACAAGAACTGGGTATCAAACAAGGACAAGGTCATTGAAGCCTACGGTGATCGCTGGTACCGCATCTGGGTCTTCTTCCTTGCGTACGCGACGATCATCTCACGGTGTGTACTTCTTTGTCTTTGACATATTCGGGACTGTGACCGCATGCTGTTGGTGGTGTAGAAATGGAGGTGCATCCGTCTTCCAGCTCACTCTCCACAAAAATCTGAATGGCTACCCGCGTGTGCTTGGCCAACCAAATCACCAGTCCATCCATGTCCTCCCTAAGAGGGAGATCTCGTAAGTTGCTCTGTCTCCCTCATTACTCACATTGCTTGTACTCATACTACATCTATGTGCAGCCCTGTGCTGTGAACTACTCTATGAAGTATTGCTGTGATCATCCTTGTGTGAATGCTAGAGCATTAAGACATCAATTCTTACCTACTCTCCTTTTCTGCCTTTGATGCATGCATAATGAATAACACTGGTGGCTTAATAGCTGTGGTGGAGGTTATTTCTGATTCACCACACATCTGGAAAATAATATCATTCTATATAATTCTATGTAGCCCTACATAGGATTAGTAGACAAGTAGGAAGATGTCTGAAATACAGCATAAAGTAGCAAGGGGGAGTTTCTACTTTAATGCAAAATAGGACTGCAGTAGCACAACATAAACCAAAGTAGAACATCAAAAGCTGGAAGTAGTGCCCACTGCTGTAGCATCAAGTAGGCTTAAATAGTTCTACAGGAATTTTAAGCTAGGTTGCAGCCATGATAGCAGTGATCAGATACATAATCAGGCATATAGCAGTTGTAGAGCTATAGTACATTATGCATGTATAGTAGTGTTATGACAAAGGCTAATTATTACAGCCTGAAGCTGCTCTCCAAGGTTCCACCAGAGTTTGAACAGGGAATAAGTGTGAATATACGAGGAGCTGAAAGCTAAAAAACTAATGTACACATAGCCTAGTTTTTATACTGCCAGCCTAGCTTATGGCTATGCTAAGAAACTGTAGTTGTGCTGTATGAAATATGTTAGACATCACTGTAGGGTTCAGGGCCCACGAAATTCACCTGGACAGAACCCGTAAAGTTAGTCTGCACAACGAGTGATTTCCACCTGCAGACCTGGGTCAATAGCCGAGCTATCAGTTGAATTGAGTCAGCAGAATTTACGCAGAAATATTTGACCTTTAGCCTGGCAGGTCGGCCAGGCTTTGAGACAGGTGAAGTTCTACCGGACCATGGGTGAATCCACAGCCAGGCTAAACCATGCAGCTATGCGGGTGAAGTTCACAAGTCTGCCGCCTGCAGAATAACCACGAAATTGGCACGGAGAATTTAGTTCGGTCAGAGACGGTCTAAAATATGCAGACACAAGCAAAATTTGCTGTCACACCAGGTAGAAACACACGGCAGACAGGATATAAATCACTATTGTACAGGGGAACATGGCACCATATAGGCCCATGCCAAATGCCTACTCGCCGTCCTCCATAT